GTTGTCCTGCAACCTTTTGACTTTAGTACGGCCTTCAGGTTGACGAAGTACATCCTATTTCGGATGAAAATTGGCTAAACCTTCGCCATTTTCCCTACATTAAAGAGATAGTCATGAATAAACTTATTCCTTAAGTTGACACAAAGTCAAGAATACTATCCGGTTCCATCTTATATGTTATATATACTCATGACTAAAAACGAATATATATATATATATGTATATAGCGTAATTAATGACTATCATACTAATTGTTGATTTGGTTAAATCGAAGGGACGAAAAGAAAGATGGTGTGGCCTTTAGTATCATCGCGGTCCCATTTCGTTGCATACAAGTTGCATGACCTTATTTTCGAAACTTGCTCGTATTGTCAAGACCACCAATGGAATCACACCATGTCTGTGGTCCTTGATAATATCCAGTAAAAATCAGACTTGATACATTGCCAGGCGTTTCGCCGGCATCACCATTGAGCTTAGCCAGTCTTAGCACCACTGGACAAGGTGCGTTCCTCCAGATCTTCCTGATGACACAACCAAGTTGCGAAAACAAGATAAAACAACTTCTACACAATGATTTCGTTAACTATCTTTCGTTTGAATCAATGTACTTATATACTATATATATATACATAAATATATCTTTTTTATTTACGAATACATATAACATGTAGGATAGGTCCGGATTATCTTCTTGACTCTTTGTTAACTTGAAGCTTTTGCATGAATCAGTTTCTGCCCTGAGTATCGCCGACATGCAGCATGAAGGATGAAAGGTCAGCAAGTTTTCATCGGAAACGAGGAAAGATGTCCTGTGGACTACGCTAGCCCGAAGTGCGTGTTAAAGCTAAACGGTTGCAGAGCAATGGGAATCAGTCGTCGTCTTGTTGTGAGATCAACCTACGATTCACTTAATCGTGCAGTTCCATACGAAATAGATGTCTCCACAATAATGTTATCTCAGAAGTTCATCAAAACCCATTTAAATTGTATATATAACTTTTTATTTGAGAATAAATGATAGTTTTTAAAACCACTCTTATCGAAACTTGGCCTTGTCTATCTTTCATATATCATGTCCTGCCCCCCGCCCCCTTAGCCTGCCTTTGCGGCACACCTCTTCCCTATAGTGCACAGCTTTCGCTGATTCGGCATCGAACCCGTCTTGTCCGTTCGGCCAGCTCCCCCTGATTTGGCCGGCCTGGCAACCAGTCCAACTAACTGGCTAAAATGCAAGTTAAAACGCGGGGAGATGATGATGGAGGCGTTAATCGAGACGTAGAGCCGAACGTGGGTTGGCCAGATTGCGAAACGGTCAGTACGGCCGTCCGGCTGGCATAAAAGTCGGGCATGCTCACTTGTGTGCGTGAGAAGATGACGCTCCAGGGAGCTATTCGAGCTCAGCTCGCTGCCACAGAAGCAGCAAACATGCTTTCCGTCGTCTCGGCGGCAGGTGCTCTGGTGCTCCTGCAAGTGCTGCGTAAGCCGAGCCCGCGTCTCGATCTCCCGTCTCGGGCACAGGGGGCACTGGAACATCTCGACGCCTGATTCTGTCATGT